ACAGAATAAAAATAAAAGTTTCTTACCATGGGTTGTGGTCAGGGTTTGAAAACGTCTCCTCCACACTTAAGAGCATTAATGGTTTAATGCTGGAGTACTGCTGAATGTTGTGTTGACAGTTAAGTGCAGATTTTAAAAAATAGGATATTGTGTTGGTGATGTAAGCTGCATGTTTTCCTAGGTTGTTGTGGTAATAGTGAATACATTTTCATGTTTCAGTGAATTCGATGACTCTTGGTGAGGTAGAACAACTGAATGCAAAGCTCCTCCAGCAAATCCAGGGTAAGAATCACTCTCACTGCTTTTTTGTGTGTGAAAAATTTTGACATACAAAATCACCTACGATAAGACACCATTGGCTTTATCTACCTTTAAATTTGGAAATGAGATATTCAAACCTGTTAGAATTTCCAGAGCAGAAAGAATAAGAAACAAACAACTTTCAATTGCAGAGGAAATACATTTTTCTTTTAGTTTCTTTCTTTCTTTTTTTTTTTTTTTAACAGAATCTTGCTTTATCACACTGGTTGGAATGCAGTGGTGATCCTCCCAAGTAGCTGGGTCTTACTGTCATGTGCACCATTACACCCAGCTAATTTTCTATTTTTTATAGGGATGGGGTCTCACCATGTTACCCAGGCTGATCTCGAGATCCTGGGCTCAAACAGCCCTCCTGCCTCAACTTCCCAAAGAGCTGGCATTACAGGTGTGAGCCACTGCACCCGGCCACATTTTTCTTTTCTAAGTGAAAATGGAAACTGCAACCTCTTACTAACATTTTATTGACTACCCACGATTGCACCAGGCACTGTGTGGGAGTGCTCCCAAACAGTTCTTCAAGGCATGTGATATTAGTCTTTTTTGTTAAATTATAAACAATTTCAAACATATATAAAAGTAGTGAGACTAGTATAGTGAACCCCTTAAGCCATCTTCACCAACTTCAACTGTTATCAAAGGCATAATAATAATCATCTCTACTTGCATCCATTCCCATTGCATTACATTGCATCCATAGCATGGATTACATTGCATCCATAGCATGGATTATTTTCAGCCAAATCCAGCTAACACATTGGTTTTTGTCCATAGATTAGGATTTCTTCTAAAAGATAACTTTTTAAAAAACAGTCACAATCTCATTATCACACCATTTAAATTAATAATTCCTTAACATCATCAAGTCTGATGCTAACACTTAACAATTAATGTTCAGATTCCCCAATTGTCTCCTTTTCAGTTTATTTCCTTTTAGATGAGAAAATTGTACTTCAGAGATGTTAAGTTGCTTACAGAGATCATGCATGCAATCAGTAGCAGATCAAGGATTTAAACTCCAAAGCTTAACCACACAGCCTCTCAGAATAATAAAAATAATCGCAATAATAGTTGTAGAAATTTGAGTGTTTTACAAATATGATCTCATTTAAGTTTTACAATAGCCTGGTGAAGTGCTTACTGTCGTTATTAATGTTACACAGGAAAGGAAACTGAAACCAAAAGTTGCTTGCCTGAGCCATGTAAGAGTAGGAACAAGGATTCAAAACTCCTGGTAGTCTTGATTCCAAAGCCTCTTAGACGGGATTCCAGACCTGAATACTAATGGGCACTTCTTGTCCGTAAATCACATTATATACTGATTGAATCTGTTTATAGATTCTAATTGAGAAAAGTGGCTCAGCTACAGTAGCAGCCACCATGTTTGCTGTGCATCTCTGGAGTCATTGCTATGACTCAAATTTCACTTGATGGAGAAAAGCCAAATTCCACTTGGCTATGTACAGTATACGATGCCTAGGATGATCAGAACTGATATGCTTTGTAGAGAACACAAGTGTTTCCTTGGTATCAAATCAGTTTCATTGTGACACTTTGCCCAATGCGTAGATTTCAGTTAGAGTTCTTTAAATATAAATCATAGCACTGGCTTTCTGCATACTACAAATGAAAGGTTTTCAATCTTTTACAGAAGTTTTTGAAGAATTAACACACCAAGTGCAAGAAAAAGATTCTTTGGCCTCACAGCTCCATGTCCGCCACGTTGCCATCGAACAGCTTCTGAAGAACTATTCTAAGTTACCATGTCTGCAAGTAGGGCGAACAGGAATGAAGTCACACCTACCCATAAACAACTGACCTGAACAGACTGACTTAGTATGCCCTGCCCTTTATTGGTCTCCCAGACATGCAGACTTTGAAGAAGTTTGAAGAAAGTCCTGGTCCATTTTTTTATGGTCATTAAATTTGCCAAACATAAGGCAGTATTAGACATCTTTTTCAAATAAAGCAGATCATTATACTCTAGTCTTCTGGGGCTAATCATTTTGGCTCATTTGGGGACTCTTTTTTCCCATAATTACTAAACAAATTTTATCACATGTGACTACTTAAATACACTGTTAGAGTGTCATTTTATTAAACATTTTAATGTAATTCACCTGTCGAAACAACAGATTAACAAACTCCTTAAACTACTAAAGATAATTTTTAAGAGGGAAATGGAATTCATATCACCTCTTATTTATTATGAGCAATATTTTAATATAAAAATTTTATATGTAAAAATGCTATTTTAGGTACTTGCCGTTCTCTTTATAATTGTATATTTGAGTGGTTCTGTATATTTATTTACACTATCATGTGTGAATATGTTCACCCATATTTCAGGTCACTGCATTTTATTCTTTTAATACAGTGTTTTTACAACAGTTACCTTGCTTTCCAAAGATAAATGTATTTTGGATTAGAAATCTATTTAGTTGAGTTGTTTTAATTTCTAATAACTCTTAAAAAGAGGAATTAGTAACTTTTTAAAGCAATATTCAAGTAAATAAAATACATTATTTTGTTTTCTAACAAAAGCAGTTACTCGGGAAGAAAAGACTAATCTGGCTTCTCTGTCAATTTGTCTCCATGGAAATGAAAGCCTCCTCTGCTTCTTTCATTATTAGCTTCACACCAATGACCGATGCATTAGAATTTGGACAGAGTAAGTCAAGCCTCACTTCCAATTCAAATATAATATCTATCTTCAAACTGAATGTGCTGTGAAATTGTTCTGTCTTTGAAAAGAAAGTGAGGTTATTTTGTGTGCCACAAAGTTTCAAGAATACTTAAACTGTCCAAATTGTATTATCACCATCCTTGAACTTAGTGCTCAAAAACAGCGTTGTGAGGTATTTTTCTAAACTTTATAGAGAAAAACAGGATTACTTGACAGAAGGAAAGCAAAACTCCTAATTAAAAAAATATAAGCCTATATATAGAATGTTCTCGTAAGTTGCCTATGATGCTTCCAAAGAGTTTTTATCTAACAGATTGTCCCAAACAGCTAGATAAGTTTTAATAATATATTATAGTAAAAGCTATAACCAATGCAGAATTAAAATGGGCTCTAAATTCTGTTTTTAACTCATGTTTAGAATGTATATATGAGGTAGATCTTTGCTTGAAAGTATCTACAGAAAAGCCCAGTAACTTGGCAGCTTCATGCATAAAGATATAAATGACATTTGCCTTAAATTTGGCAGCCTACCCTGGCTTGGGTCAGATTTTCTTCTTAAACACAAAAAAAGTATTTAAGCAAACACTTAAATCTAATTGAAAACAACTTTTTGTAATGCTAACGTGTTAAATTGGCCTGAAAGTATTAATTGATATCCATTGATTTTGTTTTGTTTTTCTTTGAAGTATAACATTACTTTTTGGGGGAATTTTTGAAAGATGCTTTTGATTTCTCTCAATTCTTTAAGTCATGCAAAATGAATTTAAAATCCAGGGAGTATGGATGCATTGCCTTAGTTTTGATGAGCTTTAAATTAAATGTGTGCAATATCAAAATATTCAAACTTACAAGTTGGGTAAATACATTTCCTGATTATGCCAGTATCTTAGTGCTTAATTGTTCCCACATTTTCAAATTTGACTTTACTCTTTTCTGGCGTAATTCAGTAAGATGGTTACCAGCCAGTGTGTTTGCGCACATTTGGGTTTGTGTTTAGATGAGTTAGGGACAGTCATAAAAGTTGGGGATATGTTGCATTTGATATCAGTAGTAGCATATTTCCAGAATATGAGCCATAAGTTGCAGTCCTGAATGCTACAGTGTTATCCAAAAAAAGGAGTTTTCTGACAAATACATAGCTTTACTAATGAGTATGGAACAAGTGGATAAGAGTGTGCATGTATTAAGGTCTTAAGTGGGGACTCTGATTTATTGCATTTAGATATTTCTACTTAAGCTCTTCAAAGGAGAGGTGCTCTTAAAAAAAACTTTGTGGTGCTGGTACTCACACTACTTTATTTGGATGGTTCCTAGTGAAAAAAAATTTTTTGAAGTATTTTGCACAGCAGTTTATCCAAATATTTGGTAAACTTATAATTTAGTCCTATGTTTTCTTAATTGAATATGCAATTACTGTGTATGCAAATATAAGTATCAGGTACAGAGTTGAGTTCTAACAAGAGAACATGAAATGTCACAAATATTGTTTTCCGTACTTGGCTGTTCTCTACTGTTGTTAGTAATTTTTGAGGATGTTTCGAAGCATATCTCATGTACTGCTGTTTAAAAAGTGGCAAAACAGACTGCCAGTCATTCATTACTAAATTTTCAGAGCTTATGTGATTAAGGGGAGTGAGATAAGACTAATCGTTTTCATGTTCAGTTTTATAATTTGACAAGTTAAATTGAGTTTTAAAAATCAGAAAAGTGTTTTTGACCACACAGATTCTCTTTAAAGTTTTAAATCAGTTCAGCCTTATAATTAAACTAAAAATCCAATTATGTTTACTCTGAGATTATCATCTTATCCTTTGATCCTCATTTTAATATCTAAATTAGTCTTTTTTAAAAGGCATACACTTGAGTGTCCAGTAATAGATGATTCAGGCAGCAGAATAGTGTTTTGTTGTGTCGTTTACTATGAATAGTGGTAGAGCAAAGACACGTTCTTAGGTTTTCAAAATACATGTTCATTTTACCACAAAGTGCCCATTTTTATATACATTTAAGGATTATTTTTTCAATGTCAGCTTCATGTTAGAAAGTGATTTCAGAAATATAGTCAACATATATAATCAAATATATCTTGACAGGCATCTTGAGATATGGATTTTCATTTTACCATCTTTTTTGTTTGTTTTTGTTTTGAGACAGTCTCGCTCTGTTGCCCAGGCTGGAGTGCAGTGGCGCAATCTCAGCTCACTGCAAGCTCTGCCTCCTGGGTTCACGCCATTCTTCTGCCTCAGCCTCCCAAGTAACTGGGACTACAGGCGCCCGCCACCACGCTCAGCTAATTTCTTTTTGTATTTTTAGTAGAGATGGGGTTTCACTGTGTTAGCCAGGATGGTCTCGATCTCCTGACCTTGTGATCCGCCTGCCTCGGCCTCCCAAAGTACTTGGATTACAGGTGTGAGCCCTTGCGCCCAGCCATTTTACCATATTCTTTATGACTGAAAATGGTTTTGTGTTTTATGTTGTTTATGTATTTTTTACCTTAGTGTTTACACTGGTAAGGCTTGTCAGTACATTTTTGTGGTTTTTTTAAAGTAAGCTTTTAGATCTATTTGTGTTTTAATGTTTCCCAGTTTGGGTTTTGTTCTGTTCTGGAAAAATCTGCTTTCGTTATTAAATTATAAAATGTAACATGTAAATGCTCTAAAGTAGGGATTTTTAAAGAGTAAATTATTTGTGTAGCTTAATTGGAGGTTCAGGTTAGTGACCATAACGTGAGTTACTTGTACATGAAAATTTTAAATGGTACCATGTAAAATTCTTGTATTGTCACTTTTTCTGACTTACGCCAGTTCATTTACTGACAAATGTTGTTACTAAGAGCTTATTAAGAAGTGTAATACGCTATAAAAAATGTTAATACTTTTTGTTCAGATGTAAAGCAAAGATAATTGATATCATTTCAGTGTGTGATTGTATTTTTAACTTTAGGTTGGTAGGAGTAATTATTTCAGGAAATTTGTGGTGAAAATTAGTAAGACATAAAAGCCTCAACAGTTTATTCTTACCAAGTAAAGTTTTGTGGTCATAGGGCAGGGAAGAGTTTATTTACCAGAATACTAGAGCCCTCATACGAAATAAAGGTAACTTGGAGGAGGGCTATAATGCTTGCATCTCAGGATTTTATTTCACTTCATCCTTTCAGAATTGCCCTTATTATGGTGCAGTCTAACCTATTAAGCAACTTCTGGCTATGGTAACATTGATATGAACCATATTATGTCAAGTCTCCAAAATACCTAGTTTGTAACATATGCTTTCCCTGTTCTTTTTAGTTTGAGTCCACATTACTAATACATTTTAATAATATTTAATTATTTCACAGTTTTAAGTTTACTAGAGTAAACAAACAAAAAATCATGAAGATAAGTATTGCCCTCCCCCAAAAAAGGTTTAAAGATTAGTTGAACTTCCCTCAACTACACCTAAATAAAGCAAAGGGGAATTTTAGTAAGTGTGTACCTTGTCTCTTTCAGACACATCTAGAATGTTTTTCTTTCACCCTACCTCCAGAAGAGGCAGTTTAGAAAGTATTAAGTAGTAACTTTTGTTCAATTCCATTTTGTGTGTGTGTTTGTGTGTGTGTGTGTGTTAACCTTACTTTAAAACAGTAGCATATACTATGGTCTTTGAACTTAATCTCCCTGGTGTTAGAAATTTACTTTACAAAATTGTGTTAAGACTTGGAAAAACAAAATGAAACTGCTGTGGTAAAAACCAAGTTTGTTTCAGAAAAGTATTGACAATTATTTGGCTGTTATATTTTCTTTGAAAACTGCAATAATTTATATATTTGTATTGCTCTGCTTTGGAACTGTATATATGCTTGTCTATTTTTAATTTTACAACAATAAAATAAGTATTTTGTTATCTGCTAGCTTGAGTGAATGTTTTTAAAAGTAGCTATTTTTTTTAAATGGTGGGTCTATATGAAGGGTTTTGCTTTGCCGGTTTAGGGAGTCTATACTTAGAATGATCTTATCTGACAATTTCTTAATTTCTTGTAATAATCTTAACTTAGCTTTGATACTTAATATTCTCTGTCTCCCAACAATACAGAAGCAGGAAATAAGATGCCTGTGACTTACTAGATGTCTATGCAATTTTTTTTAATTGGGGTGTAATTTATATACAGTAAGCACACAGGCATTTTACTGTATCGTTTGAGTTTTAACAAATGTATGCAACTGTAGAGCCATCACTCCCTTTGGTTTCCTTCACGGTCACTTCACTTTCCATTTTCCTTCCACTGATTGTTCTGATCCTTTTTTGAGATGGAGTGGAGTCTCTCTCTCTTGCCCAGGCTGGAGTGCAGTGACATGATTTCAACTCACTGCAACCTCCACCTCCTGGATTCAAGCGATTCTCGTGCCTCAGCCTCCTGAGTAGCTGGGATTACAGGTGCACACCACCACGCCTGGCTAATTTTTGCGTTTTTAGTAGAGACGGGGTTTTGCCTTGTTGCCCAGGCTGGTCTTGAACTCCTGATCTCAGGTGATCTGCCTGCCTCGGCCTCCCAAAGTGCTGAAATTATGGGCATGAGCCACCGCGCCTGGCCTGATTGTTCTGATCTTTATTACTGTACTTTGCATTTGCCTGCATTAAAAAGTTTACATAAATGAAGTCATTTTTTCATTCCACTGTATGTTCTTAAAATTCATGTTAGCTCAAGGATCAGTAATAGTTCATAGTTCAGTTCCTTTTTTTTCTTTTTTTTTTTTGTGGCTGAGTACTACTCCTTTGTATGAATATATTATAATTTATTCACCTGTTGATGGACATTTGAGTTGTTTTTAGTTTGGGGCTTATCTGAATATGAGTATTTTTAAATCGGCTTTAAAACATTAGGACTACAACAAAATACTCAAGGTCATAGTTAGCATTATGAATCTGAATATCACATTACCACTTTTTTTTCCACAAATGATTTTTAAAGTCATTTATATGATGCTTTTATGGCAACAAGCAGTTTTAAAACTAGGAAACAGATGATTTTACAAAAGTTCAGAGGCAAATTACAAAATAAGGACTCCTTGAGAATTGAAACATTTCATGGGGTACTAGAATAATCTGTCCTTTTTTAAAGTCTCTTCAAAGTCTAATAGTCATACTGCTTTGTTTTTCAGGAGAGGAAATGGAGACCAAGAGTCTGGTTTGGAAAGAGTACTAGACCACAAATGAAGTTCTCCTGTTTAGTTTAACTAAGTGGCATTAAGAGAAATACATTGTAACTTTTCTAAGCCTGAATTTGTTAGGCTTTCCTCATGCTCAGTTTCCCAGCCTTCTTGGGAATTTTCAAACTATTTGTAAAACGGTTTGCTCTCCCCTAATTTTTAATGTCATGATAGGACCAGAAATTCTTTGCAGGTGTCTTAGAGGCTGACAAGTCGTACATGATGGTGGATAAGAATAGGAAGGGGAACTTCAGGCAGAACAAGACCTATTTTATATATCAATACTCTAAATTCATAAAAAGCTTCGAAAGGTTTTGCTTTTAGAATCTGATAAAAGCGATGCATTGGATCCTTGTAAGTTTACGTCTTTGGGTTTTATTTTCTATTATTGATTTTGGTATTGTGGTGTTTTGCTGTTCTTCCACATCTGAATCCCTTTCTAGTGTTTGGATGGCACAAGTCACCACCTCTAGAACCAAAAACTTCAACCTGCTGTGTATCTGAAGCACCTCGCCCTGACTGGTGAAGCAAAGAAACTGAATAGAAGACCTGTGTTGAAGGCATCAGTGGCTAACTATCAATAGGGACAACAGCCGTTATCCCATATCCAGTAAGTACAACAGGTAAGTTCCCGACATCTGGTGTTTGAATAGCCATTGCCTTGTGCACTTTGGACTGTGATCCTAGTAGTTGATTACATCACCTTTGTTCCTGCCTGGTTTCCCAGCCTTCTGGGTGATCTCTCCCCATTGAATAAAGTCCTTTATAGCCAGTCAACTAGTTGCTTTCTCTAGCTTGCAACTCAGAGCTCGTTAAACCTAACCTCTTCCACTGGATCTATGTCCTGTGTTCTACTCTGAGATCTTACGAAATTCATTTCCAAAAGTGAACTGCTAAGAGCCAGTGCATATCTAAACTAACCCTCAGCCACATGGGCTGCCTTTTGAGTCAACTGAATCTGATGGGAAGATTCTGAAGAGAAATTAAACCTCTTGGTAATGCCTATGTCAGTTTTCCTGTTAAGAATGTGCTTTAGGATGGGCACGGTGGCTTATGCCTATAATCCCAGCATTTTGGGAGGCCAAGGCTGGTAGATTGCTTAAGTTCAGGAGTTGGAGACCAGCCTGGGCAATGTAGCAAGACTCTGTACAAAAAATACAAAAATTAGCCTGGCATGGTGGCACCGGCATGTAGTCCCAGCTACTTGGTGGGGCAGAGACTGAGGTGGGAGGATCGCTTGAGACCTCCCAGGCTGTGAGTGAGCCGTGATTGTGCCACTGCACTCTAGCCTGAGTAACAGAGCAAGACCTTGTCTCAAAAAAAAAAAAAGAGAGAAAAAAAGGAAACCACTGCTCCAAACCATAAACTGCCCCAGAATTTACTTCCCAAAAGATGTGGTAATGCTACTTTCCTGCTAAGAGACCTTTCTAGATTATCACTCCTACAAAATAAAAGCTAGTCCCCGTAGTTGAGCATTTAAAGCCTTCACCATTTGGCATCCACTTATTTTCCATTTTAAGTCTTTCATCAATTTTCAGATTTTTTTATGTTGCCAGAAACTCCACCAAGCCCTGTAAGTCTTTGGTTCCAAGGGATATAAAAGCCAACAAGACTCTGTTGGTCAACTGGAAAGTATTCTGCCAAGAGATTAAAAGAATAAGGATTGAATAATGTTCATTGTATTTAGCAACCAGAAATTCAGGGAGTACAGTTTTAATGGACCTGTGGGAGCAAAAGTAGATCACAACAGATTATAGTATGGATGCAAGGTAGTACCATGATTGGAATGTGTTCCCTCAAGTTCATGTGTTGGAAACTTAATCCCAAAAGCAACAGCATCAAGAAGTGGGGTCTACTAAGAGGTGATTAAGTCATGAAGGCTCTGCCCTCATGGATGAATAATGTTATGGAGGGAGTGGGTTAGTTATCATGAGAGTGCATTTGTTATAAAAGCAAGTTCAGCCCCCTCTGGTTTGCTTGCTCACATCTTCTCTTGCTGTTTCCACCATGTTATCACACAGCATGAAGTCTTGCTGTCTTGCCAGATGCTATCATCATGCCCTTGGACTTCCCAGCCTCCAGGACTGTAAGCCAAATCAGTAACTGTTATTAATTATCCATTCTGTAGTACTGTGTTACAGCAACATAAAATGGACTAAGACAGGTAGGCTTGTGGATTTGAGGTATGATGTCTTTAAAATTTTATGAAGTGAAGTTAAGGCAAAGAGGATGTTGGGTTCAATGTTATTTTTTTAAGGTTGGAAAGTACTTGAATATGAATAAATATTAAGAGGACAGATCCAGTAGAAAGGCTAACGATAGAGAGGTAGCAATAATCAAAGGAGTCCAGTTTAAAGAGACAGAACAGAGTATCACATGGAGAATGACTTGTCTTTGAAGAGGTTTAGGATCACCTCAGGGTTTGACACTAGAGAGAAGGTAAAACTGCAGATGAACATATTTGAATCAGATTTGTTGGAGAGTAAGTTGAGAAAGTACTTAATTGGCTGCATCTATTTTCTATGAGAAAGAATAAAAAGACAATGGGGTCAGAGACTCAAGGGAAGTGGTAAAGTACTGAATAGCTACTACTTGAGGAATGAGGAGGTTCCTGACCGTCAGAGGAGGGGTTTAGAAGAGGTAGAAATGAGGAACCATGACTCACCATTGGTTAAGGTTGCCTGAATTTGCTTTCTGATTTTGTTGCTGTAAAAAAGAGGTGCTTAGAAGAGTGAAAATGAGTGACCATGACCGTTTAGAAGAGGTGGAAATGAGAGACTGTGACTCACCATTGGCTGAGGTTATCAGAATTTGCATTTGGATTTTATTGCTGTAGAGAACAAGAGGGAGTATTTTTGAAATGGGAGTAAATGAAACTGAAAGCACTAGTGAAAATAGATTAGAATCTGAAACTGAGAACATTTGTGGCTCAAAAAGAAAATTTACAAAAACCAATAGATGAAATTTCAAGTGTGGGATAAATGAGAAATATGAAAAACTACTGCAAATGGCTTGTGGGAAAAATATGAATCCTATCATCTTCACTTAGTTTTTTCAAGCAATAATTTTATTTGTTCTCTCAGTATTTGGTGCGATGGCAAAAGTAAACTAAGACTCTGTTGTGAAAACCAAGCCCTTATAGGTCAGTTGGTATCAAGCTTCACCAGAGGGAAGTCAAGAAATCTTTACCTAGATGAGAAGAGGTTTATAAGAGGATGGTCAGTACAGTGTACAGAATGTAGAAGAAAACCATAGCATAGCTAACACAAGAGTTTCAGATCTGTAACTTCAAAGCCAAGAAAAGGCAGTGTGAATAGAGAAGGGCTATTCTAGAGGAAAGAGGCAACTGAACTGAAAAGTAATTAAGGCAGAAGAGGAAGTTGTAATGAGCAAGATGATTGCTAAACCAACATGCAGGAACTTCTAATCTTCTGCCACAACTAAGCACCTCTTTACCTCTCTTAGCCTCTGTTTTCTCATCTATAAAAAATGAAATTGAACTTTATGATCTTTAGAGACCTTCCAGCTCTAACATTCTACGAGTATAATGAATTTAAGAAACCTACAGTGGAAAACTCCCAAGCCCCTGTATGAACAGCAGAACTGAGCTGAAACGGCACAAAGAAAACGTGGTTTCATTTTAAGAGGAAACTGTGAGGTGCTGTTATAGCAAGCTATTGCTGTGATCACCTGTGACAAAAGAAAAGAGGGCTGAGTCAGCCTGGTTCCTATTGGAAGCAGCTACACAATCCTCTGCATGCTGTTTAAGAGCATCTATGTTGTAGAAAGAAAAAGAGGTCTATATATTTTGGCATCTTGTTACTCTTTCACATTCTCATATCAGGGGAAACTATTGGGAGAGAATGTTCTTTTAGGAGTAACAGTGGGATGGTTCTCCCACACAGTCAGAAGTTGGGTTGCCTCTAGCACAGTTTCTAAAGGCTGGCTCTTGTGTGTGAAAAATGAGACAGGTAAAGGCAATGTGGTAAGCTAGTTAATAGGATAGAATTTATTCATCAATAAAATTGTTCTTTTTTCTGAGATTATGTCTTTCCTATGGGGATAGTAAATTGTTCTTTCTTTCATGAAGTGATGACAATAGATGGTAGATTTTCATTTTTGTTTATTTGTTTAGTTTTAAGTCCTTACTTGGTGAAATTAAAACCACAATCTTGTATTGGTCTATTAGTCAGGGTTCTCCAGAGAAACAAAAAAGCATGTATATATGTGGAGAGAGAAAGATTGGCTTAATTCCCTAAATCAGCTCTGGGGGCTGGCAAATCTGAAACCTGCAGGGCAGGCTGGATGGGTGGAAACCCCGAGAGTTGATGCTGCAGTCTTGAGTCTGAAGGCAGTTCAGAGGCAGAATTCCTTCCTCTTCAGGGGAACTCAAGTCTTTTCAGACCTTCGACTGATAGGATGAGGCCCACTCACATTACAGAGAGTAATCTGCTTTACTCAAAGTCTACGGATTTAAATGTTAATCATATCTAAAAACTACTTTCAAAGCAACACCTACACTGATTTTGACCAACTGGGCATCATATTTTCCGTTTTATTTCAATTTTATTTTAATACTCCATGAATTTAACAAGTCTGGAAACCGTGAATCTGGCATTATTTTATGCAGACAGTTGTCTCTGAGCAGCACAATCCTAAATCCTCTACTCGGGTCATCACCGTCTCCAAAGAAAGAAGTGCCCATAAGAGGCTCTTACACTATTCTGAATTTTTCCATGTGTTCTAAAAGGGCTTAGAGGAACAGCTTATTAATTTTTTAGAATAATCCTTTGCATAATAAAATTACAAGTTATTTCATTTGTGGTGTTATTTTTTCCTCTTAATCTAGTGTTCAATCAGAAATTATTTGAAGACTGAGTGTTATACAAAAAGTAAAAGATTCAATGCCTCTAATAATTCAATATGCAATAATTTTAGATAAATTATTAAAGAGTAGTAGAATGTTGAACATTTGGTTCATTCCTCTCTTATTCTCCTTGCCCCCTCCCTTTGTACCCCATCCAGAAAGTCATCTTGTATAAGAGAAGGATCCTACTGAATCTCATCGACCGCCAACCCACAGTATATGTTTCCTTGAAAAAATTTACATAGTCCCAGCTATTAGAAGAGCTCTAGAGTTCCCCAAGACTAACTGGATAAATAACCAAGTTGCTGGCCATCTTGCTGTGGACGAGCTTGTTCCTTTTTGTCCTGATCAGATAGCTCGGAAACTAGAAAAGACAGCACCTGGGCCTCCTGCTAAGTTTCTCTTCACCGTTCCTGCCTACTGCTTCTCACAAAAGCCCCAGAAACATGTTGGGACCCAGTGCACTGCTGTTGCCCTATAGAGACGACGGGGCACCTCCCTCGCTTCAGAGAAAATGCAGAGGGAGTTGAGCTAGTGACGTGCAAAGCCACATTTCCTTTGCTGCCTCCATCTCTTCTCATCTTCATACCTGTGTGAATAAAGTATGAGGAAATAGACTCACATCTTGCAGGACTACACTGCTTTTCATCAAAGTACGGAAGAAATTTCTAGCCCAGATGGACACAGATTGGTCTCATCTCAGATGACAAAGTGAACCAGCATGTGGGATATATAAATATCATAGGAAAGTACTAAAAATATAGAGCTAGAGGGACCTTCAGGAGTCTTGTAGCTTTTGTTTGATTTGATTTGGTTTGGTTTGGTTTTAGCAGAGGTCTTTGTTTTAAAAAAAAAAAAAATCCTTCAAGAATTAAAAAATGTGAAATGTACAGGAAATAGAGCTGCTGCTGCTCTACTCGAAGGACAATGGAGATTATTCGACCAAAGTCCCCTTTGTATGCCTCTCAGTGACAATCCCCTAGTTTCCCAAACCTTCTATCATGAGCCTCTGAGGCAGCTATGAGAGACCAGCAGGCCCCTGGTTACCTACAAAGCACCTTTTAGAAACTGCTTGTCTACTCTAATACCTTTAGGTGGCCTAAGTCAGTAAAGAAACTTCCAAACATTTGATACCTTGTTAGCCACAGAGTCAAAGACAAGCACCAAATCTGATTCCATTTCCAAAGCGCCCATGACCTGATACCACTTCCAACTGGGCTTCTAATTTTTATTTTTATTATACAAGATCTTCTTTCTAATGGAATTGTAAGCTATTTCTCCACACTCTGCTGGACCAGCCGGAAACAGCCAGGAGAGGACTACACAGTTGGAAAAGAATAGGCAACACAAATTTTCTAGGGAATCCAGAAGTATCTTAGATGTCTTCATCCTGAAAGTCAATCAAGATAGACTGTGGGAAGAGTAATACCAGTAGAACTTGCATAACAAATGCTGCTTGACATCAAAAAGCCAGTTTCAGCAAAATTTGTTTATAGGAAATTTCAAAGCTTATACACGTCTATTGCGATTACCTGCGGGGGTGGGGTGGGGTGGGAATCGCTTACCCTGCTGCTCTTGACTAGCTCTTCAAAGTAAAGCAGCTCGAGTTATACATTACTGTAGTCATATGTTCAAGGGCCTGTGGGTACTGTGTGACTAGGATTTTCTGGTCAACAGAAGAAAATCATAGCAATGTGTACAAAAGCCACCAGATGTCCCTTATCATATTAGCATCTCTTGTGCAGAAATGTATTTTTTGGCACCATATCCTGGAACCAAAGAGAAGGCTAAGGTAAATGGAATAGCAGATGAGCTCATGAGAAGCCAATTCCAGTCTCACAGCTGAACGAATTTGAAATGGAAGCCCAGTTAGATACAAAGAATTTTAGAACAAGATCTGAAACTTAGTTCAGTAGCCCTCTTAGTCATTACCACTAACTTGGTGCTCATTAGAAGTAAAAGGAAGACTTATCCAATTACCAGTGCTTGGTTTCCTGTTGTGCTGATGAGCAGGAAAACAGACTACTGCTAAGAAAGAATTCATGCCTGTGAGCAGCCTGCAGCTTAGCCACATGTCTGGGTATGCTGAATTGTTCTGATCAGTCAACTTAGGTAAAATCTCATTACTGGTAGATGCCAGAAATAGCACCAGCAAAATCCCCTAAGAAAACCCCAAGATGGAGTTTATGCTATTCCGTCCCCTTTCTTTCTGGAACAATTCCATCCTTGAGCTATCAGGTGCAACAAGCAAGGTTAGGGTTAATCCTCATTCACAGGGGCATGGTGAGGTGTGTTTGAGCTGGAGCAAACCAGGAGGGCCTAGCATGGGGTGGGTGAGGAGGTCTGATGCAGGCTGTCGGATCTAGAGTGGGAGGAGGAGGACACCCATGGGGGCAGCGGGGAGCAGGAGATTGGGGATGGGGTGCCAGAGCCTCAGTGGGTGGAGGAAGCATCAGCAGGGGGAAAGGTTATTAAACAAAAATGAGGCAGATGTCTCAATTAGTAGAGGTTTATTAAGCCAAAGTTTGAAGGCAACCCAGGAAAAACACGAGTCACAGGAGTATCTGTAACCTGGGCTTCCCGAAGAGGGTCTGGGGAACTCATTACTTAAGGGGAAAAGGGAAGGAGGTTAGTCAGTGAAACAAATAGTTACATCCTTGTGAGGCTCTAACTAGCGCTAAATGAATCTATGTTTTACATAAAAGGTGAACACTTTGAAAAGAGGAAGGAAAGAGTCAATTATGCGTCCATCTCAGGGTAGGCGCAGGAGTGGTTCATGTCTTGTGCTTGTTCTGTACCTTGGAAGATAAGCTTGTAATTGACATGGTCAGGGTGAGATTTAACAGAACTCGGTTTTAGGAGTTAAACTTAGGTGGTAGAACCAAGGTTACAATTTGGCATGTTTTGGTTTTATAGGGGAATATGTATCCTGAAAGATTTTGGGGCTAACAAGGAACTTCCTTGAGAGCAATCTGTGAGGGGGGCCATCTGGGGAGGTACATGGCCTTTTGCCGTGTTGGGAACCTGGCTTACATATAATGCTATGACACAAGATTGTGAAATGACAGCTATCTGTTTGGGGAAAAAGAAAGGCAATATTTGCATGACTCAGTTCCCAGGCTTAACTTTCCTTTTGCAATAGTAAGGTTGAGGTCCCAATATTCTGATTTCTTTTACAGGGACAACGTAGCAACACGGTTGATTATATAGGAAGGAATTTAAATAAGTAAATATATTAAGAATTTGGGGAGTTCAGTTTCTCATTCCTCAAGGAGTTACAAACATGAAAGAGAAGAGAACCAGAATGAACCCTGAGTCTGGTTGCAATTGAAGATAATGGAGTAAATGCATGCTTTTTAATAGATAGTTAAGATACAAATCTAGATACACACAGATGTAAATGTGCCTCTGTGCTTGGCCACTGAGAAGAGGGTCTGGGAGAATGACCCCCAACAAAAGCAATGAGTAACAACTAGAACCCAAATACTGCTTTCTAAAAACTGTTCTCCACTAAACCAGGGCCCCTTTTGGAGAAACGATTGACTTCGGAGTACAAGGTAAGTCTGGAATATCTTTTTGTTCCAGAAAGTACAGAAATACTAAAAAGAGATGGGGACATGTCAAAATAACAGAGAACCATATTGAAGGAGTCCTCACTAGCCAAATCAGAGGCAATTTAAGCACCCAAATACTTAGTGAATCTGTTGAATAAACTAGGAAAATCTTGTGATGAAATGAATCCATAAATTGAGTTTTTCATAAGAGATGAACTATTTACATAATCTCAAAATATGTCCTTCCAAATAATTATTAATTCCAAAAGGGAAAGAATAACTTGGTGGAGAAGCCTGACAGACTTGACTCTAATCAAGTGATCAAAGTTGGTGTTAGGCAGTGAGGATGAGAACGGGGTAAGAAAAGATGTAGGACTGCTAAATATTTTCCTTAAGAAAATACAATTTGGGCTGGACGCGGTGGCTCATGCCTGTAATCCCAGCACTTTGGAAGGCCAAGGCAGGCAGATCACCTGAGGTCAGAAGTTCAAGACCAGTGTGGCCAACATGGTGAAACCCATCTCTACTAAAAATACAAAATTAGCTGGGCGTGGTGGCGGGCATCTGTAATCCCAGCTACTTGGGAGGCTGAGGCAGGAGAATCGCTTGAACCTGGGAGAGGGAAGTTGTAGTGAGCCGAGATGAGCCACTGAACTCCAGCCTAGGCGACAAGAGCAAAACTCCATCTCGGGAAAAAGAAAAAAAAGGAAACAACCAAAAAAAAGAAAACACAATTTGACCTTTAAAGACAACATAAATATATAACTGTAGTAAAAATATGTATATATATTATATTGAAATTTTTTAAAAATCTTTGTTATTCTTAGGTCTTATTCATTGAAAGCTAGAAAACAAATAACAAATATTATCAATGAAGACTATCCAATCATAACACAGTGCTTGAAACAAAATATAAATGGAAAAGCTTTTACTAAGAAAAAACAATAATATAATGGCCCCCAAATTGAGAAATCCTTGATACTTCATCAAATCATTGATCCTTAGAGTTTCCAATGTTAGCAAGTTGAAAAAAGCTACTTTAAATTGCTAAAATAAATACTATCATTAGTATTTACAAATTCTTGATCCTTGATCATCAAAGTTTCACATGTGAGCAGTTTGAAAACATTAGTTATGATAAATGATAAAATACTATCTAGCATTTGTGGAGTTTTACTCAAAGGCAAGCATTGTTCCTAATGTTTTATAGACATCATCACATTTAGTTTTCACAATTTCTCTATGAGGTAGGTACAATTATCTCCATTCTATGGATGAGGAAACAGGTGCAGAGAATTTAAGAATCTAGCCCATCATACTATTAGAGGGGGTGAACCCAGGTAGTTTAACTCTTATGCCTGTGTATTTAATCATTACACTGACTGTTTTAATCCTTAATTCTAACACTTAGTTCTATTCCTTCTCACATTGAATCAGTCATCTATGATCTATTAATGTTGTCCCCCAAATCATGTCAGTCCCTGTGCACTTTGGCTGGAGTCATAGATTATTTTTTAAAGTAGAGGTTTATTTTAGAGATAATCTTGCTTATCTAATTTCCTCATATTGCAGACTTGCTGCAGTTTTACATCCAGTTCACTGATCAACTATCAAACTGAAAGATAGCTTGTCACTGCATCTGCAGGGACTCACTTGCCTTGGGGAAAAATACATGTCACACATTTACATTTTGGCCTTAAAGTGAGGAAACTTTATGGTTTTCAGAACAGAGTCAGATCCTTGAAAATGAAAACAATAAATCCAGTGCTGATGGTGATCAATGCTGAATACCTTGCCTCACTTATGAAAACGTACGGCTTCTGGAGGTGTGTTCCTGGTCCTGGGGCTGGTGATTGTGATCATCATAACTACTGATGAGTTGCCAAATTCCAAAGTCCCCCACAGACGGCTTGTGTAAACAGAGCCTGTAATAAGCTATGCTGTGGAGACATTTCTTAGCACCAGTGATCTTAAAACTTTCACCAGTAGAGGCTCCAACATTTGAATGGAGAAGTCACTCTGGGACAATGTGGTGAGAGTGGTCGCTAAGCAGAGATCACTTGGGAGCCACCTACAATCGTCTAAATGGCCCCCCCTCAATGAAGGGAGGGCAGAGACATTTCTGTGAAGTGAGACTGCCCATATGTTGACATACAGACATACATACATACATTTGCCAAAATGATGTATTTGAGCCAGCATATTAGGTTCTTTTTTTGCTTTTCTGGGTGGCAGTAGTACAAAAGAAGGAGCACAGGACTAAAAGTCCAAAGGACATGGGAATAAATGATAGTAATACATAATAATCAAATGCTATAGAAAAATCACCAAGTGCCATGAGTCGTTCTAATACTTTACAAGCATTAAATTAGTTCATCCTCTTAACAAACCTAAAAGGTGGGAACTATTACTTTACAGTTGGGAAACTAAGGCACACATTTGCGTTGACCAAATTATTCTATTCTAAGGGGCGGAACTGGGATTTGAGACAGGCCTTCTGGCTAATAGAGTGTAGCTCCAACTTCCAGTAACTCTAGTATCTATTGACAAAATGCTCTTATCGCCGCTTACAACTTATCCCATTTCTTTGGGTTTTTAAGCATCAGCAAATTTGCCTTGCAAGCTGCCCTTGTGCTAAATAGTTCATCTATATGAAAGGAGAAATTATACATTCAAATAGTCATGTGATATTAATTAAACGAACCAGATCATAGATGGAATTTGCTGTTCATAGATGATCTTTTAGTTTAAAAAGTAGGAGACTATAAAAGTGCTGTTTCTTCAGCTGTCATTCAAAGGCCTATTCATAAATCTATCCCTGAGTCATAAAAGCTCCCATTTTATAACAGGCACATAAACAGATGCCTCCCATAATTCCGCAATTCTGCACCCCATTCTATTCATTACCAACAAAGTGTAAAATGCTTCTCTTAAAAAACAGACAACAGGAGTGGCTGGCAAGATGGCCAAACAGGAACAGCTCCGGTCTGCAGCTCCCAGGGAGATCAGTGCAGAAGGCAGGTGATTTCTGCATTTCCAACTGAGGTACCCGGCTCATCTCATTAAGACTGGTTAGACAGTGGGTGCAGCCACGGAGGGCGAGCTGAAGCAGGGTGGGGCGTCACCTCAGCTGGGAAGTGCAAGGGGTCGGGGAACTCCTTCCCCTAGCCACGGGAAGTCACGAGGGACTGTACCATGAGGAACGGTGCACTCTGACCCAGATACTATGCTTTTCCCATGATCTTCGCAACCCAAAGACCAGGAGATTCCCTCTGGTGCCTACACCACCAGGGCCCAGGGTTTCAAGCACAAAACTGGGCGGCTGTTTGGAAAGACACTGAGCTAGCTTCAGGAGTAGTTTTTCATACCCCATTGGCACCTGGAATGCCAGCAAGACAGAACCGTTCACTGTCCTGGAAAGGGGGCTGAAGCCAGGGAGCCAAGTGGTCTAGTTCAGCAGATCCCACTACAACAGAGCCCAGCAAGCTAAGATCCACTGGCTTGAAATTCTCGCTGCCAGCACAGCAGTCTGAAGTTGACCTGGGACACTCAAGCTTGGTGGAGGGAGGGGCGTCCGCCATTACTGAGGGTTCAGTAGGTGGTGTCCCCTCATAGTGTAAACAAAGCCTCTCAGAAGTTCAAACTGAGTGGAGCCCACCACAGCTCAGCAAAGCTTTTATAGCCAGCCTGCCTCTCTAGATTCCTCCTCTCTGGTCAGGGCATCTCGAAAGAAAGGCAGCAGCCCCAGTCAGGAGCTTAGAAATAAAACTCCCATCTCCCTGGGACAGAACACCCGGGGGGAGGGGCGACTGTGGGTACAGCTTCAGCAGACTTAAACGTTCCTGCCTGCTGGCTCTTAAGAGAGCAGTGGACCTCCCAGCACAGTGCTTGAGCTCTGCTAAGGAACAGATGGCCTCAAGTGGGTCCCGACCCCTGTGCCTCCTGACTGGGAGACACCTCCCAGCAGGGGTCAACAAACACCTCATACAGGAGAGCTCCAGCTGGCATCTGGCAGGTGCCCCTCTGGGACAAAGCTTCCAGAGGAAGGAGCAGGCAACAATCTTTGCTCTTCTGCAGCCTCTGCTGGTAATACCCAGGCAAACAGGGTCTGGAGTGGACCTCCAGCAAACTCCAACAGACCTGCAGCAGAGGGGCTGACTGTTAGAAGGAAAACTAACAAACAGAAAGGAATAGCATCAACAAAACGGACATCCACATGGAAACCCCATCTGAAGGTCAGCAACATCAAAGACCAAAGGTAGACAAATCCATGAAGATGAGGAAAAACCAGTGCAAAAAAAAGCTGAAAATTCCAAAAACCAAAACGCCTCTTCTCCACCAAAGGATCACAACTCCTCTCTAGCAAAGGAACAAAACTGGACAGAGAATGAGTTTGACGAATTGACAGAAGTAGGCTTCAGAAGGTGGGTAATAACAAACTCCTCCAGACTAAAGGAGCATGTTCTAACCCAATGCAAGGAAGCTGAGAACCTTGAAAAAAAGTTACAGGAATTGCTAACTAGAATAACCAGTTAAGAGAAGAACATAAATGACCTGATGGAGCTGAAAAACACAGCATAAGAACTTTGTGAGCATACACAAGTATCAATAGGCAAATCCATCAAGCAGAAGAAAAGATATGAGATTGAAGATCAACTTAATGAAATAAAGTGTGAAGATTAGAGAAAAAGGAATGAAAAGGAACAAACAAAGCCTCCAAGAAATATGGGACGATGTGAAAAGACCAAACCTACATTTGATTGGTGTACCGGAAAGTGACAGGGAGAATGGAACCAAGTTGGGAAAACACTGTTCAGGAGAACTTCCCCAACCTAGCAAGGCAGGCCAACATTCAAATTCAGGGTATACAGAGAACACCACAAAGATACTCCTTGAGAAGAGCAACCCCAAGACACATAATTGTCAGATTCACCAAAGTTGAAATGAAGGAAAAAATTTTAAGGGTAGTCAGAGAGAAAGGTCAGGTTGCCCACAAAGGGAAGCCCATCAGACTAACAGCAGATCTCTGCAGAAACCCTACAAGTCAGAAGAGAGTGGGCACCAATATTCAACATTCTTAAAAGAATTTTCAAGCCAGAATTTCATATCAAGCCAAACTAAGCTTCATAAGCAAAGGAGAAATAAAATCCTTTACAGACAAGCAAATGCTGAAATATTTTGTCACCACCTGGCCTGCCTTACAGGAGCTCCTAAAGGAAGCACTAAATATAGAAAGGAAAAACTGGTACCAGCCACTGTAAAAACATACCAAATTGTAAAGACCATCAACACTATGAAGAAACTGCATCAACTAACGGGCAAAATAACCATCTAGCATCATAATGACAGGATCAAATTCACACATAACAATATTGACCTTAAATGTAAATGGGCTAAATGCCCCAATTAAAAGACACAGACTGGCAAATTGGATAAAAAGTCAAGACCCATTGGTGTGGTGTATTCAGGAGACCCATCTCACGTGCAAAGACATGCATAGGCTCAAAACAAAAGGATGCAGGAATATTTACCAAGCAAAAGCAAAGCAAAAAAAAAAAAAAAAAAAAAAACAGAGGTTGCAATCCTAGTCTCTAATAAAACAGACTTTAAACCAACAAAGATTAAAAAAAAAAAATGACAAAGAAGGGCATTATGTAATGGCAAAGGCATCAATGCAACAAGAAGAGCTAACTATCCTAAATATATAGGCACCTAATACAGGAGCACCCAGGTTCATAAAGCAAGTTCTTAAAGACCTACAAAGAGACTCAGACTCCCACATAATAATGGTGGGAGACTTTAACACCCCACTGTCAATATTAGATCAATGAGACAGAAAATTAACAAGGATATTCAGGACCTGAACTCAGCCCTGGACCAAGCAGACCTAATAGACATCTACAGAACTCTCCACCCCAAATCAACAGAATATACATTCTTCTCAGCACCACATCACACTTATTCTAAAATTGACCACATAATTGGAAGTAAAACCCTCCTCAGGAAATGCAGAAGAACAGAAATCGTAACAAGTAGTCTCTCAGACCACAGTGCAATCAAATTAGAACTCAGGATTAAGAAACTCACTCAAAACCACACAACTACATGGAAACTGAACAACCAGTTCCTGAATGACTACTGGTTAAAAAACAAAATTAAAGCAGAAATAAACAAGTTCTTTGAAACCAACGAGAACAAAGACACAACATACCAGAATCTCTGGGACACAGCTAAAGCACTGGTTAGAGGGAAATTTATAGCACTAAATGCCCACAGGAGAAAGCAGGAAAGATCTAAAATCAACACCCTAACATCACAATTAAGATAACTAGAGAAGCAAGGGCAGATAAATTCAAAAGCTAGCAGAAGACAAGACATAACTAAGAGCAGAGCAGAACTGAAGGAGATAAAGACACAAAAAACCCTTCAAAAAATCAATGAATCCAGGAGCTGGTTTTTTGAAAAGATTAACAAAATAGAATGCTAGCAAGACTAATAAAGAAGAAAAGAGAGATGAATCAAATAGATGCAATAAAAAATGATAAAGGGGATATCATCACTGACCCCACAGAAATATGAATTACCATCAGAGAGTGCTATAAAAACCTCTATGCAAATAAACTAGAAAATCTAGAAGAAATGGATAAATCCCTGGACACATACACCCTCCCAAGACTAAACCAGGAAGAAGTCGAATTCCTGAATAGACCAATAACAAGTTCTGAAATTGAGGCAGTAATTAATAGCCTACCAACCAAAACAAGCCCAGGACCAACCAGACGGATTCA